AAAAAAAATACTAAAACATGTGACGGAATGACACAAAAAAAGTTACTTTTATTTTATATATTAAACTTAAAATGACTTAAAGACTATGTTTTAAATGTTTAAATTTTGTACTATATGCATAATTTTATCAAAATATTGCAAAAGAAAGATACATTTATTTTATTTTATAAGTGTTTTTCAAGAAAACAATTTCATCACAAATGTGAACAATTCACTTGTCAGCCATGTGATTACTTTAGAATACTGCTAGATTCAAAAAACTTAAAATTATCAAAAATGAAACATGAATAAGTAGACTTTGGCTATTTCTGAACATATTTTTAAAATCAAAATATGCAATTCATAAAAAAAAATTCGCTTTAAAGTTGACACTTTCATGGAATTGTCCTGGAGTTTCCTTCCTTTTTTTATTAAAATATATGAAATTTTGAGTAAATAAAATGAATATCTAAATTTGAAAAGTTTTAAAACTATTGAATTTTGACAAGCAAAAGTAAATTGAATCAATTCTTCTATTGATTCTTTTTTCTTTTTTTAAAGGAACTGAGGAGCATGAAACATGTTATGATAGAATCAATTCTTGCTTGAAAACAAATTCTGTGGAAAAATTTCCGACAAATACTGAGGAATTACAGCAAATCTGTTCGTAAGACATCATTATTTTCTGAAACTATTATTTCAGAATATTTTTTATTATTATTGTATCAAAAATAATTTTGATAAAGCTCCACGCACCATCTCACAAATATTTATCAGTGCTTTTGATTCTTGTGCTACATTAACCAAAAAAAATGAATTATGAAAAAGTTTGGAGCATTAAGACCTATTTAATAGAAAACTAAGGAAAAAACGAACATGAAAGTTTTTGACTAATAAATGAATAAAAAGTTACAAAAGCTTTTCTGCCATACTTAGAAATTATTCTTTTAAATGAAAACAAAAGTTTATTGATTTAGGTAAATTTAAATATAATGGACTTAGCGTCAATTTTTAAGCGTTTGTCTACTTACCAAATTAGATAAATTATAAAATACTTAAAATGCAAAAAGGAGTGCATTTGAAACCAAATAAAGCATTTCACATAACAAAAATTAAAGAATATAGCGTTTTTAAAAATATTTTTTCTTTGTTATTTTTGTTAAGACAGTAAAATAATGAAAATCTGAGAAATAGAATGGATATAACTAAACATTATACGTAATAGTCTCGGAAAATAATTTTTAATTAGAATGAATATTTAAATAATGTTCTAAAAAAAAATTTCTGCTATCAAACAAATTGTATAGTCTTGTACTTTCATACTCTGCATAGGATAAATCTTAACTTACATTTAAAAAATTTATTTCTCATACTTCATTATTTACTAAACTATCGATAAATGCTTAATGAATTATTTATTCCATTAAACAAGCTAAATTACGCAAATCTGAAGAATAATGGAAATTGTTCAGTTGAAAATTCCATTTTATTGATTCAAAAAATTTTTTAGTCATTCTTAACGTTTCTGGAAGTTTTCCAAAATTCAATGTTTGCTAGCCGCTATTGGCAAGTGACACTATCTCATAAATGTGCAAGTAAGTTTTAGGTTCAATCGCATAAATGTTGAAGTTATTGAAAGTAATTTAGTTACATTTAATAAAAATATATTGCAATCATCTAAATGCAATTCAAAAAGTTTTAAGAATTTTGATATTTGAAAACAAGTATTATTGACAGATAACACGTGTTTCAAAGCATTAGGGTTGATTTTAGACTGAAATTTAAAGATCTCAAGAATGCTGGAAACTTTTTGTTTCAAATTTAAATTAATTGATCAATTGATTTATACAATTCAAGAAATGTTTCAACTTTAAAATTTGAAAATAAGTATTTTTTGGCGATTCGAACTCTGTAACCTTTTATTTAAAAAATGTAATTCTATAGTTTTAAAAATTAGTTTTGTAAAAAAGCCTAAAGTTTAAAATAAAAAATTAATCAAGAGACTCCTAAATAATTTGTTTTTATACATTTTTATTATTTGACTTTTTCAGGCGGTAAAAATTATATTTTTACCGCCTAAAATTATATTTTTTCAGTGACTTTTACGCCCAGTTTGCATTATTCTTGAGATCGTTATGGAGAGATCTCGGTGTGTCTAAGGCTGGATATGCTGGTTAATAAGAGTCATATGAGCGATCAACAGCTTCGTGCCATTGCTCTATCTGCTATTGAAAACAAATATCCTAGAGATACATGGTTATATATCTATACAGATGGATCACTGATTAACGATGAAGGCGGAGCGAGACCCGGAGTGAGTTGTGATCTTTTTTCGTGCTATTCACCAGTTGGGGCTCATTCTACCCATTACGATGGTGAAATTGAGACTATTTATATCGCTTTAAAGCAGCTGGCAATCCGCCGTTCATCATTCTGTAGATCGGTTATTTTATTAGACTCCACGTATGCTCTGCAATCTTTTACAAATAGACAGTATACCCGTAATACCAGTATTCTGGAGAGCAGAAAGCTGGTAATTTCGATCTCTCTTTCCTTCCATTGGATACCAACCCACAGTTGGATTCCTGGAAACAAGGCTGCCGACTTTTTAGTCAAAAAGGGGGCAGGAGCCCTCCAGAGACCTTTGAAAAGCCTCTCTTTTCATTCAGTCAAACTCCTGGTAAAAGGAAGATATAACACCAGGATAAAGCAGAAAGCATATTGGAAGGCTAAATAGACGTCATAGCCAATCTTCTGGAGAATTGTAATAAATAAATATTCTTGAGATCTGATTATGTACCTTTTGGCACTACAATTTTTTATAATAAAATACTAATTATAACATTATAATGTTGTCCGATATTTAGAGAAGAAATCTCGTTGATACTTAATGAAGCTTTCAATTGAATCTTTTTTGGTTTCAGAAAAATTATATAAACCAAAAATTGTAGCAATTTTTGTCATTGCTTTGGGCCATCTGGTTAATGAACACCGCACCCAACCAATACGCCCTAGAAAAGAGAAGGCCTTAGCACGGGTTACCATAAACAAGAAATTTGATTCTTTAGTAGTCCAAACGTCATGACATATTTCGTATTTTTCACTACTGCGCAACTTAGTAGCCCGAACGTAGTAACATCTTTCCTCTTTTTCATCGACTGCGCAGTTTATGTTCTTTACGTCGGACTACTAAATTGATCCTTGCTGAGGCCTTCGTTCTTTTAGGAGGTGTTGACCCAACACTCCACAAAGCACACACACCCCAGATAGCAGTCAAAAGTTAATTTTTATTTCAGCAACAGCCATTATCAAAAATCCCAGAAGGTTTATAAATTATTAAAAAAAAATAAACCATACAAGCTTAGCACAATGTTGAATTTAACTATACTTTAAGGCTGCCTTTACAAAACAGAGCGAGAAAATCCTTCTGAAATCGAAGATGAATCATCGTTTGAAAATCAGAAGAAGAATTTGTTTTCAAAACTAAGATAATTTCCCCTTCTCGATATTTATTTCATATTTTATGACCATCACTAAAACAACGTTTATTTGAGCTGGCTTTTGCATACTTTTCTTTAATTCTTTAAAGGTGAAGGTTACTTAATCATTAAGCTTTCTATACAAACAAAATGTTGCATTTGAGATCCTGGACAAAACGAGAGTGTAAAAAAGGCAGAAACATAATTAATTCACTGTGAAAACTAAAATATGAGATTTTTTGTAACGTTTTTTGCATAACATAATTCAATCTTTAAGGAAAAAAGCTTGGCATACTAATATTTTTACTAATAATTATTCTAAATTATGTGTACATTAGTAAGTCCAGCTGCCATCCATTGTACATACCTTTGTAAAATTGGAATCTTAAAACACTACAAGGATGTGTACATAAAATAATGTAAGGTGGTACAAGGTTATGTAAAAAAAGAGATAGGGGACTGTGGTGGTATACTCATGCGCTCTCCAGAAAATTTAGAAAAAGCTCTGAGTGGCCTTGAAGAAGTCTGCGATGAAAACACCTTCTCTTAGCTTTCACTTTCAAACTTTCCAAGTCAACCAAATGAAAATGCATCATTTACCATAAGGTTGTCTGCCATTTGTGACACATAATATGCAATTTTCAACTTGTAAGGGTGTGACATTAGGTCACAGCCTAATTTATAAATACCCTGTTTTTTTTTATCAATAATACTAATTCTTTTAATTTTGTAATACATTNGGATATGACGTGTTTAAGGAAAGAGATGAGAGAAATAGAGGACTGTGGTAGCACACTTAGGTGGTCTCCGGAATATGTAGAAAAAAGTCTGAGAGGCGTTGAAAAAGTCTGCGACGAAAACACCAAACTTTACAAGGGTATGTACAATGGAACACTACTTACTTACTTGTACATAATTAAGAATAATTATTAACCATTTTTTTCCTCTTATAGATTTCATTTAGTTCAATATTATTTTTGTAAATTTAAATTACACATGTAATTAATGATGTAAAAATTCTAGAGATAAGTCAGAATTTTTCGCAACTACCTTGACTTCTAGCGAAGTATATTGTTTCTACTTTTTAATTATGCACTGCAAAAATTCTGGATCAAATTACGGTTAAACGTACAAACATTCAACGTGCCAGTACTTCTTATCTCGTAAACTCCATTTTTACCAATACATGTTGCGGAACAAAAAATTTGTTAAAACGTAATTTTTACAGTAATAATTACCATAAAATTACTGAATCACTCAAGTTAATTAAATATTACTGTGAAAGTCGTGGTATAATCTACGATAAGAATGTAATTTACGGTTAAATGTATTTTACGGAAAATAAACTCCGGTTAAAAATTTTCGGTTAAAAATTTGGTTAAAAGTTTTCTGTATTAAAATTGACACCCAAATTGCCAATTTTTTATACCAAAATTTCTTAGGGTGTATGAAATTTTTATGAAAATATAATATGCGTTATATGCTGGGTTATAGATTTTTTACAATACACGTTACAATTACAGTATACTATTCTACTGTAGAAATAGATTTTGCGAATGACGCTCTCTAACTGTCGATATTATATACCGTAATTTGATCTCCGGGATTTTTGATATTCTGCTACACATTCAGTTCAAATTATCACTACTTCAGAAATGTTATTTATTTCATTACGTTCAACCTTCTTACTTTCTGACCACTGAAAAGCCATGTTTAACATTTTGTTAAGATTACTTATCAAAAGAAATTGCTCATTCAATACATAGTTGACAAGACTCTTCCGAATGGCTGATAACACTCCCATGTAGTCAATACGTCTACTGTTTTGCTATAGTTTAAATTGTTTTGAAAATTACTTATTACATTTTCAAAAGTTTATTATCTTTACATTTATTCATTCTGTTTTAGCTTGATTAAATATATTTATGCGTTCGTAAAAATAGCATATTATTTGCTCTAAAGTATTGTTATTTCATATGATGGGCAGAGTATTGGAAAAACAGCCTTAGTGATCCTTAAAAAAATTTTATTAGCAACCATCTATTCATTCATTCGCTTAGCTTCTGATTCTAACATCAATTGTTTAATCTTAGGTTTGTCTTCAACTTTCTTAAAAATTTGCGATCAGCAAACGGACTCTCGAATTTCACAAGGACTATTCTTTAGTCGAAGAAAAGATCAAAATCGCAGAACCGATTTACAATCAAAGCTTTGAAAACAGAAAACGTTCTGCTTTTTATGCAAAATTATTGTCATCTGGACTAAAGCACTTGCTTCTATCTATTTACAAATACAGTGAAAACGCTGATGGTATCGGTAATGAGTTTTATTTCTTCAAATGGTCGGTAATCTCGGTGATAATTTTCTCACTCGTATATCTAACATTCCTCTATCCCTCTTTAAGAAGCATGAACTATTCAAATAAAATTCAGATTGAGAAGGAGGCTTCCAGTTTGAAGCACAGTAGAGACTACTGATGTCTGTTCCATTGGTTAAGAACACGATAAAAGTTATGTTAACGGAAGAATCATGATAGACAATTTGAAGTAAATGTAGAGTACTATAGAAACCCCTCAAGGTTAGGATACATCATTGTTAAGCTCAGTAAGAAAATACATTGTATTTGCATCGACTAAATCATGAACTTTCTTCACCTCATACCATACTTACATGTACTGTGGATAGTCAACCCATGACACGTGCATACCACAATGAGGTACAAAGGGATATAAACTGTGCTAACGATCATATACAGAATTTTCTTTTTTTAAAAATGTGAGAATAGTATCGTCGTTTGGAACTTTATCAAGATCGATAAAAACTTTAATTAAATGTTTTAAATAATCTTTTTTTATTTTAGCAGAATCTAATGATTGAACTTTTAAAAATGTTTACTAACAATAAAATTTTTGTTTGTACTTTTTTATTTATTATAAAAAAATTTATATCAACACTTTCAGTGTGCGCGTAAAAAAATCTATCTGTTACTTGCATAAAAAGTCCATTGTCAGTGTGTTAATTTGTTTCCCCTTTTTTATCCTTTTTACTAAGTTTAAGGTAGCAAGCGAATTTTGTTTTAAATTTTTTATTGTGGTATTCTCCTAACAATTTGATTATCCCTGCTCTATACCAAACTTCTGAGAAACCAAAAGACTATATTTTATAATATCTCTTATGACGTACTGCTGCGAGGTCTTCATTACGGCCCCACAACTGTTGTTAGACAAACTTGAGGTTCTGCAAAACCAGACTCTTCGCTTGGTTACAGGAGCTGTTAAGTCCACACCGATTGACGCGATGCTAATCCTAACAGGAAATAGACCTTTCCAAGATATTATAAAGGAGAAAGCTCTGATTCTATATGAAAAGCTTCTGAGAATCGATGACCCCTACTGGAAAGACTATGTAGTCAGGCCTAGACAACTTAAAACCCAGAATGGATTTATCCAGGAGGTGCTGAACATCCAGAAGGTGCTGAACATTAGAAACGACACTGAAATCCCGCGTCATGCACTACCTCTTTTGAAACCTAAAAACCCTTTGGAAATAACAAACGTTGAAATAAACTTGGATCTTGTGAAAACTGTCCATGGTAAAAAAGACGCTGCTCCAATTATTCTAAAAAATCTTGCCCTGGAGACAATGGCGTTTAGATACCCAGTCGACGATTGGCTACATATTTTTACCGATGGATCTCAATTTGACTGCCATTTTAATGTAGGGGCTGGTGTCTTTTCGGAACTTTTTCCTTTCTACGTACCAGCAGGGTACATTGGCACCGCCTTTGATGGAGAAGTAGTGGCCTTGAGTACGGCCTTACAGCAGCTACTGGCCCTCCAACACAAATTTGAAAATGCAGTTCTTTTCTCGGACTCACAAGCGGCCATACAATCAATTAGCTTACATGAACGTCCCTTGACACCTGAGATTTCCCGATGTCAAGACCTCTTGAGGTCTTTATTTTTGAGGGGAAAACGAATAGTCCTTCAGTGGGTGCCAACCCATTGTGGTGTTTGGGCAATGAGCAGGCAGATTTACTTGCCAAGAAAGGTGCCAATTTGCTGCAGCAACCAAATACGGCAACTTCCTTTTGGAAAATCAAACTGTTCCTTAAAAATTTATGTAAAACCAACTCATTGCAAGACCTTCAGACTCGCACAGCTTTGAAAAGTTGGAGAAATGTAAGCTCTTTCTTAATTCCTGACAAACCAAGACGTGATGCAGTTGCGGCCTTTCGCTTATATACAGGCCACGATTG